ATCTATTTGTAGCTTAATGAAGAAAGATAGAAACTTAGTGCATTTTCCTGTTCTTACATTGCAACTCCAATTTTCTAATCTCAGTAGGTGTCATGTTGTATATCCTTATCAAGATTATAATTAAAATGGAAGGCATGAAGTATTACACAGCTGTCCAATTCATAAATATGGAAAACAACTTTCTTAATGCTTCTCTGTCTTTCCCTCGTACAGTTACAATTGCACAAGTTCTCTCCTTTGTAATTATTTAAGACTGTTTAAGAAAAATATAATTCAAGTTTGCCATTACTTTGTGGCATATGAAAAAAATGGTGGTAACTGATCTGACTAGAGGAGGAATGGTAACCATATACAGCTTACATTCTCAAACACTAGTATATTCTTCAGAGAAACATGAAATAACTTGCAAAAAAAAAAATTACTGCCTGACCAAAGAAAGTAAAAATCATGTGAGACAAAAATATTTTTTTTTTAAGTAATCATGTAGAGCACATCTCTGGAATACAACAGAATCTCAGACTAGTTTCCTAAAATCAGTAAAAGTATTTCAGCATAAAAGGATGTGTGGCTCCTAAAGCACTCTTTACTGTCTATAGACCAAGAGGGAAAGATACAGATGCAGTACAGAAAGGAAATATACTTAATAATCTCTAAGGATTTGTATGTCTTAACTGCTTAAATATACTTCTGTATGGAATATTTAAATAAGAAAAGAAATAACCTAGCAAATCCTTAGCATATTCTGAAGTACTAATATCAGAACAGATATACTAACATTGTGCTTCATCATAAAAACATGTTCACTTTCAGGATAAAAATAGTACCTTATCCTGTCTCATCTTCTAGATTTGACTGTGTCTGTACTAATGATCTGCAAAAGAATTTACGAAATCCGAGTTTAAAAAGAAAAAAAAAACCAAAAACAACCAAAAGGAAACCAAAATAATGGTTTCCCAGACAACACAGCTAGCAGAGCTAGAAATGTTTCAGCAGAAATGGCATGCGTTTTTTTCTTTAAAGTACTGTTTGCAATGATCTTCATTGCCATCACTTATCAACAGCATCACGGTACAAAATATGTATGCATTTTAGCAAGTATTTCCTTCAGCCTTTTAAGATAGCAACACCACTTTTAAAAAACAGTTATACAGCCTATTTGTATAGCAGGTCCATCAGAAGATGAAATTCTGACAAGTGTAGGTTCTGCTTTCAGCAACATGACTACACATAAACATCCCTAGCAGAAAATAATCTATTTAAGAAGAATTCTGAAAATTACAAATTAATATATTTCATTGTGATTTTCTTTGACAAAAGAGATTGATTTTCAATGCCATTTATTTACAGAATCGCAGAATGTTAGGAGTTGGAAGGGACCTTGAAAGATCATCCAGTCCAACCCCCCCTGCCAGAGCAGGATCACCTAGACTGGGTCACACAGGAACGCATCCAGGCAGATTTTGAATGTCTCCACAGGAGGAGACTAATTTAGGATTGTTTGAAAGACTCCCTACTACCTTAGGCTTTTCTGAGCAATGCAAACAAAGTGGCTAGGATCCTTTTCAGCAGAAGAGATTTATGATGTTCTAACAGAAAATTCCAGCTATTAGTCAGCATAATCAGACAGGAAAGAGCCATACAAAACTGATGAACTTGCAAAGTAGCTAAAAAAACTCTTGAACTTCCTTCCATTCGGAAAGGCTAATATTCACTCCTGTTAATAGAAAACAAAGTCTAAGGAGCTCTGATTTTGTTAGACTTCTCACTGTTCCTCTTTCAAATAGAGAATATTTAACCAATAAAAATGTACAAGTTTAACTGCCTAGTAAGACTATTACACAGAAGAGATTTAAAACAGAACAAGGATTAGGTCAGGAACACAAGCAGCCACATATATTCCCATTAGGAAATCTGGAATGAGGTATGGATAAGATCAGTACTAAAACAGATTATGATAGGTAGGAGACTATTGAAAAGGGATCAGGCCTTTTCCCTTGAGACAGACTGATCTACATAAAGGTATTTATTAGCCTTCCTGCCCTGGAAGCAGCCTTTGCAGACATTCCTCAGTTACCCCTCATTTGTACAGTGAGCATGAATGGCATGTATGTGCAACAAAATCAGAAACAATGTTCCCCACATCCATATGGTCTCCTCTGTTCTAGATCATTTTCAGTAACAAAAACATTGCTACTTTATCAGGTACGGGAAATGCACTTAAAACTACAGATTTTAAAATGAAACCTCTGTCCAGGCTCAAGCATTCAAATAGTGAGTCCCTAAATACAGACCTAAACACAAAACAAAATTAGGAGGCTTTGAAGTTTACAAAGATAAATAGGAAGAAATCATGACCAATTCACACAATTACAGACTAAACTAGAAAGCAAGCAGACTTACCTTTAATAAGGTTATGTCTCCATTTTAAAAAAAGCTACTTTGCTTAGAAAAAAAATAGGTTTTCTTTAAACTTTACATCAGTATCTTCAAGGTGATGCAATGGAGGGATTGGGGGAAGGAGGAAATACAACAGGTAGTATTCACAGCACCTGAATGTTTTGAATCAGCCTTGGCTTCTTACATGAAACAGAGACACTGACCAGGCTCGTGATTTAACTTTCACAATTTTTTCCAATATGCTAATTCATCAAGAAATATCTCTTTTTTCAAACAAGGTATTATTTTTCACACAAGCAAAATGGATTTGAACATGGCTGAAAATAATGCATTCCTGAATGTGCTTTACTATGCCTTATTAGGACCAATTGAACAACTTAGAAAAAATAGGGTTGCATCCTTCTACTTTGGGTAGGTCATAGACAATAAAAAACATATCTATTAAATGGTGGTAACTGGAAAAATCTCTGTGTCTTGCTATGCATGCAGCAGTATTCACTCTGAGTACTACCATTATGACTGAACAGGTTTCTGTTCTCCTTCAGCTTTTCTGCTCCAACATAAAAAAACCCAAACTATTTTATCTTATCACAGTAAACACTTCTACATCTCATCTGTGTGTTCATATGATTTCATTCTTCCTGAAAATTCATGGATCTTCTTATCATAAACCTACAAAGGTCAATTTCTAAAGCACTTAACATTACCTGTGCCTCTTAGGGCTCAGTAAACATGTTATTGCCTATGTTCGTGTGGGTGACATTAATACATGCTGAAAGAAGTCAAGATTTTTACAGATTAAAGAGCATAGCAAGCTGTGATAGTGTTGATGCTGAAAAGCAAACGCATCATCTGTAAATGAACTTTGCATTTAATATCCTTCTCCTTTAAAACACTTTAAAAACTGCATCCAGATAAACAAGCTTTGTACAAGGTTACTAAATATAGATCTATTGCTCAGAAAGGCAACCGATCAGAAGATATATGCTGTTTCTGAAAGCTCATAAGTAGCTTTGAGCCCCCAGAACGCTAAGTGAAAAAAACCGTTTCAAGTTTCCATCAGATTGCCAAAACAAGTATCACCATCGAATGAGACTTAGGCCACAAGAGATCAGTGTGAAAGAAGTTAATTTCTTAACAGCATTATCTACTATTTCTATTCATGCTAAAAGTTACCCTCTGTATAAATCAGTATGCAAGTGAGCCAGGCACAGATGCCTTGGTAGCACAAAGGCAACATTTCAGTTTTACACGCAAAAATGCTGTTCTACAAATCTGGAAAGCTTGCAAGCTATCCTGTTTTCACTGCATACAGAACCTCATGCATCTAGAAAGAGGTGCTATTCTAAAATGAAACTAAGGTGCTTTCCATCGGCATTTTTTTTATTTCTTTGATTATCAAAAACAGTAATAAAATAATTAAATCCCTGCCATGTGAATCCTAATCTGATGCAAACTACATATGAATATCAATCTGGTGGTTATGTGCCGAAGACGTTTTCAAACAGCTACAGCAGATTTTTTAAAATCTTATTTCTCACCTCCCCAGACTTGCTGTTGTTTTTGAGGAATTCTATAATTTCACATGTTTAATTCAATCTCTATTTTTGAAATAGAGAAACTTTAGATAGAAAAAATAGAAATCAACTTTAAAAACACTGTTAACTTTTAAATAAACAGTTGTGGATTTTAGGACTCAGGCATTAAGACTAAAAATCCTGACCTTGCACTTAAGGTAGTAAGCACAAGGTGAACAGTAAAAGAATGAGACGCATGAGTCTGAGTTCATTACCTGCTGACTTACTTCAATTTCTCTTCAAAAGTTTTTTTGCAGATAATCAGGTTGCTACAGCATTCCAAGAAATTTATAAATAAGCTCTTGACAAAGTTTCAAGAAAATATATTTATTCCCTTTTAGCAGAGGAAGAAAACATAATAAATATAACAATTTCTTACATCCTTTTTTACAACATATTTTTCAGTTCAAATATCACACTTCTGTTACAAATTTCAACTAGTATTTCAAATTTCAAAGACCAAATCATTGGAAAAAGAACTTCTAATATTAAAAAAATAACACATATCAGAGTAAAAGAGTGCAAATGTTTCATGTCTTGGGTCTAGTGCTAAATGTTTAAGTCCTTAGATATCTTGCAGTGTTCTATCAGATCAGCAATATTGCAAGCATCCAATTAGCACGCACCACTATTACATTAAGTGAAAAATACAGATTTTAAATTTTCACAGCACAACCTCAATTTGTCTCTCAGACAACATCAAAAAGGACTTTTCCAAATTTCTGCACTTAACGACAACGTGAGCATTTTACAAATAACACACTCAGGTCCTCAGGTGAAGCAAAATGGACCTAAGCTTGAACCTCCTCAACACAAGACAATTACCAGGCAAATACAGTCCCATTCTGACATGTTTGTATAGGTCTTCAGAGTGCAACTAATACTTTCTCAGCACAAGCAGATGCAATTCAATTGAGATTTTTGTTTCCATAATCTGGAATTGGGACAGCAATCCCTTAGATTATGTAGGATGCCTGTAGCTGTTTTTTGACAGCCATCAGGTTTTGTTGCTTTTGTATGTACCACCTATTCAAACCAGTTTTCTTTCAGTAAAAAATGTACAGCATCATCAAATCCATTTTGGTACAATGATTCCATTTTCTTCTGGTTTGGTGGGAACAAAGCTTGCTTAAGTCTCACTAGGTTGGCCACAGAGAGCTACAACAGAGTGAAAAGCTATAAATTAGTTTATTAAAGCAACTTACCTAGACTTGACTGCGTCGCTGTCTGTTCTGTCATCTGTTTCATGTACCATATGTAAAGACAAAAAAGACCAGCACGGCTATGTTTACACTAGTAAATTAACCATACCCAGGTACACTGCTGAGCATCAAGACAAACTGGTGCAATCTGTCTGCATATGCACTATTAAATTCACAGCCTCCAAGACAGGCTGTCTGCCTGAAAAACTGTGCAAAGTTTCTGAAACATTTTAACTTTGGAAACATTCCCAGCACTGGCAGAGTAATAGCTGGCACATGCTAAACTTGTGCAAAGAAATATTTTGACAGCTTACTAGTGCAAACCACCACATTCCTGATAACATTCCCAGGCAATGTTTAACATATGAGTATAAATGTTCTTAATTTATTGGTGATACAGGCTACTACTCAGCATCTCAAGTGGTCACCTTGATAGTGTAGAAAGATTTAAGAACTTTGTTCTTGAATAAATAAATAATTAAATCATTTACAAGAAAATTCAGAGTATAATTAGATTTAATATAGTTTTGAACTCTTCATATATATGCTTTAATACTTTAGCCACATACTTTATTGTACACAATTTTGAAAAACAGTATCAAAATCATCTTCATTATTTGACGTAAGTAATTATTCAAATTCTGCTACTAAAAGATGGAGAAGGTTAAAAGAGACAGAAAACTGTTCACATTCCAGTTCAGGTAAATGAAGATACACGTCTCTTGACTTTATGCAGATTACAATACTGCTGAAAAAACCCCCAGTTATTCTTAGTTTACATTTTTGCAACTCTGAAAGCTAATGGTGCTTCAAATGGAATAATTTAAAATGTTGCCTGAGATTTTGCCCAAGTCTGCACTTGCAGGACCCTAGAAACAATGTAACTATGCAATTAATTTTCTCTCTAAACTTAACACATCACCAGCTCATCTTTATCTCCTCTGGATGCACTAGATATTAAATATAAATCAAAACCAAGAAATATACAGTAAACAATTGCATATATTTTCAATATTTATTAAAACAATAAACATTTACTATGATTTATATTTACATGTATATATTTATAATAATTTACCAAGTACTATAATAATTAAAATATCTCTGCAAAACATTTTAAAGATTCAGAAACTGGTTCAATTTAGAATTACATTACTCAAATTAAGAAAACATAATACCAATTTTTGTTTGTTTTTCTAATGGAGTTTTGTTGACAGCTAGGTATACTGCCATTCAGTATTTTCTTTCATCCTGTCAAAGAAATACCATGGTTACAATTTGTGAGACAAAGCTTCCAAGGACAGAAATGTCAATGATGACGAAATTGAATTGACAAACACTTATAAATAAGCACAACCTACACTGCTCAATTACTTTTTCTTCTTCTGAAGTTACTTAATAAACAAGCAACTCACCATTATATCTTGTTTTGCAAATTTAACATAAAGATCCACACGTCCTTTATCTTGTGGACAGATATCTAATCGACCACTGAAGGGAGAAATCGTTACGGTTCTTCCAACATGTAAGATAGGAAGGCCATTCGTAAGGCCACCATCAACCCACTTCTACTGGAAAACAAAAATATTTTCAAAGTAACCTTAGTACAGTATGTTCATAACTGAATACTTCATTCTTCCTGTCCCTGACTCCTCCACCACACCCCTTGAGAAAACTAACAAGTTTCCTTCTCAGAATACCATGCGTGAGTATGGCTTGAGTATGGGGCATAAAAATCAAGGAACTGACAGTGCAGATACAGAGTGTTTAATTAATGAGCATTTGACATGATGTGTAGACAGGTACATAATATGCTTATCAAACTAATGATAAGGCTTGTTAGTTGATCTAATATCAAAATGACCCAAGCAGAACTTTTCTCGACACAAACATGTACAGAAAAGACTGTTAATATTACACGTGAAGTATATCAGATAACGTATACTCCTCTAAAACATTACTGATTCAAACTAGGAGCTGGACAAGCTATATGTGCAGGTAAACTGACTGCACAAGCTACATCAAACAGGACTTGTCTCTTCTTCCATACACAAGACAGCAATAGCTGGAAAGTGAAAGACAAAGGTGGGAAGGAGCAGAACAACTATGGCATATGAGAAGGAACACACAAGTCTGCTAAAACAGTTAAGTATAGGAAAGAATAAGGAAGAAAAAGCAAAAGCAATCAATCTCTTGCAGAGCCCCAGATATTTCTTGCTTCTAAAGGCAGTCTAGGGCCACAAGCCTGATCTTCACAGGGACTACAGTCAAATTTCATCCCAGTATAAAGTAGGGACAACTATGACATCTCTTTCAAATATACTTTATACATCCATATTTCTTTTTGTGCTTTCGTGCATAACCCAAAACTCAGTGTCAGTCTGCTGGTGAGACGCATTCACTGACATCACTCTGGTCTGGTGATCAGATGCATCTCACTGAAGCTTATACAACTACAGCCAAATTAGTCATTCTACACTTTCTTTAACGTCAAGGGAGTGAAAATACTTCTAGCACATGATTCACCTTATCCTAAAATAGGCATTTACATCTGATTTGAATTATGCTGAGAAAGTGCTTTCTTCTTCACTAATTATAAAGCAAACATACATTAACTATGTAAGATGTAGACTACGGCAGACACCTAAAGCTAGACAAGTTGAAATACTATAAAAAAACATATGTCGTGGTATAGGCCCAGTGCATAACTGAGCACCACGATGCCCCAAAAAAGGGCTAGTCAAAATAAGGACTGGGAGGGCTTAAACAGGTCACTTAAACAGGTCACAGGCAAAAGACAGACTCCTCATAAGGAATAAAAAAACCCAAACAATTTTAATGTGTTACCAACATCAGAGTAGAACAATGGGAGACACAACCAGATCTTAAAATCCAAACATCTAACCCCCACCCCTCCCTTCTTCCTGGGCTCAGCTTTTGTTCCTGGTTTCTTCACCTTCCCCCTCCCCCTTTGCATTGAGGAGCAGGGGGATGGGAGTGGAGGGTTGCAGTCAGTCTTCCGCCATGTGCTTCTCAAAGAGTAGGGAAAAAAAAAACCTCAGGCCAGTGTCTCTCCCTCTGTTTCCACGTGGCCCCCTTCCATAGGGAAAAAAGTCCTCAGTCCAATATGGGTCTGCCCACAGCTGCAGTTTCCCTCACACACAACCAGTCGACCCGGCTCTCGCCACGGGTTGCAAAGGGTAAACCTGGGTTCTGCGCCCTCTTCCTCCTCCCTCTCTTTCTCTTTCCTTCAAACCAACCTTGGTGTTCTTCAAAGTTGTTCTCCTTGGGCCCCACTCCTTTTCTCCGCTGCAGGTCTCTTCTGACGGTTATGGCGATCCTGGCTCTCTCTTTTTTTGGGATTAAACTGCAGTGGGGCTTAAGCTTAAGTTGCGGTCAGGGCCAGCCAAGCCCAGCCCGGCAAGGCCGGGGCCGTGCCACCCGCACCTGGGGCCACGCTGGTCAGGGCCGGTGCCAGAGAGAGAGAGAGGCATGCCCTGCAACACCCTTAAATACATGAATTTGCAGGGGCGCTGATTGGCTTGGCCCTGGTCAGAGGTGGGTCTGACAAAGGGAAAGGGGGAGCTTTTCAGGTAGCTTCTTGAAGGGCCATCTCCATAGCCCTTCCTCCGTTACCAAAGACGCAACCAAAAACCCCTCACAGGAAAACCCAATACAACACAATATTATAAGATTCACCTCAGTGTTTCTAAAGGGTTTGACCTCCCCATAGATAAACTTAATATTTCAGGATATCAACTTCAAGTTTCATTAAAACAGAACACTGCAAACAAATGGTAAATTGTACTAGTGTTCTTTAGCATCAATTAGGCAGAAGGCTGTTCTTCTGCTGTAGGTGATACTATATACAACCCCTATGAAATGGCAAAATAATGCAAGTTTTCCCACAAATTACTGAAAATTCTATAGGAATTTAGTCACAAAACAAAAATCTCTCACAAAAAGGATACTATTGAAAAGTTGTTTATGACACCTAAATTAAACTTGTCTTCAAACTGGTGGCAAGGCACTAGATTTCGATGCAGTGACTGGAATACAGGAAGCGTTCACTCAGGTTACAGTGTCTGTTCTTCAGAAGCCCCTGAAATGCTCTGAGGTCCATCACTTCTTTGTACAGAAACCTCTCAGCTGTGTCTTTTATTCTCACTTAATGCAAATTCCTCCTTAATTCTACATGTATAGATTTCCTGCATCTAAGTTCATGCAACAAAAAGACTTTGACCTCACTTGCTCCTCCTTCCACTGTCAACTCTTCTATCTGGCGATACATGGATTTGCTCTTTTACAGATGGACATATAGCATGCACCATTTGGGGGTGGAGGGAAGATCGCTTTATCCCCCCACTCCGCCCTCTTCTTCACTTTCTTAGACAAAATTTGCCATTTCACACTTCTTTTATGCTCCTGAAATATAAGCTACAAATATTCACATTGAATAGTCTCCACAGCCCTTCTCACCCTATTATTTCATAACATGCTTTAGAGCTTGACTCTTGACATCAGCTTCTGATGTCAGTACCCACAATGCACCACTGAATTCCTTCACTTTCCACAAAAATCTTATTTCTCAATGCTTAGGATTCAGATTGTTTTGCCTAAGAAAAGCATAAATAAAAATCCAAACCCATCCAATGCTATCTTTCAGACTCCTCAAACTCCATTAGACCATTGTTGCGATAACCACGATAAACCTGCAACAAACCTAAGCATTTCTAACACCAAAGCTTTTATTTTTGTGTGTATATAAATAGTCATTTATTATTGATTTACATGCAATGTTTCTTGGAGTACTACGTGGCTTTTTGTTGCAATTCCTACAGTGACAAGAACAGCAGAGTCCCAGCCTAAGCCAAGTCAAAGACATGACATTAATAATGTCTTTCACAAGTCTAGCTTAGTACTTCTACCACTTTAAGTTCTCCCACTTTAAAAAATTCTGGTTATTTAGGTCTTCTCCACTCTCCTCTTTGTAACTTCAATATTTATTTGAAAATCAAAACAGTTACTGAGGCGAGGGGGATACTTGAAAGAAAATAAAATGACAGAGGGCACATCAGCCAGGACTAACAGAATCTACACAAAGACAGTGCTTAATAAAAAGTATTTGGGAGAAACTACTTCTCAGTCAAAAATATTTTAGCTCCACAGTCTCTCGTTACATAGTTAAAATAAAACATTTATATGCCACGAATAAAGAGATGTAATGCCCCAAATTCTTTTAATTCCATTAACCAATTCTTGAAAAATGCTTCTTAGCTGAGGTGACAAATTCCTAGTAACTTCTGAATTAGTTTCTTTTTTTGTAAGTACAGTGCAAAGACAGAGGAAGTTCTGAAATAACGTGCAATGAAAACCAAACCAAACAATGAAACTAGTTACAGGCTACCCTAACAGAATCCACCCATTTACCAGTTGATGGCTTTTACAAAAGATGTTTTGTAAGAACTACAGTGAAACAAACTACAGCCTTATCATCAGGTACAGTCAACTCAATCATCTGCAAATCTTCACCTGTCTTAAAGGTTAACCTTGTCAGAGATTCAGAGGACATCAAACCAATTCAAGGAAAGACAATTTAAGATGGAACAAGTTTGCCCTCATGTTACTGGAAGCCAAATCCAAGGGCATCTTAAATATTCAACCCAGGTAAAAAAAGCAACTTGAGGCCATTAACAGACTAACTTCTCAGATGCCACTTTATAATCCCTCTTCCTTCAGATTATTTTTACATTCAAACCAGAAGAAAACATACTATGAACAGATTGATGTAATCACTATGCTGGCATGCTATTTAGCTTATTCACTCAGAAGTCTAGACTCCAAGCATGCATACTACAGGTGTGCTAGCTAACCCCAGTGTGAGCTGTATGCCTCCCAAAAAGCATTCTTCCTAAAAAGAATACTGAAGTGCAATGCTGGGTACAGTTTACTCTGAGGTTCATTCTCTTTAGGTAGCATGGACAGGCTAGCAACAGGTTTGGCTATTTTCTGATACTGTTCCAGCAAAACTGCATCATACTCCCTTACGTATCATGCAACACGTACCTCCGGTAACATATTGAAATACATTCCAGAAACACTCCCAGATGACCCAGGTGATATGCACGCAGGTGATGTATGTAGCACAGGGATGATCCAGACCAACTGTTCTGAAGGTCAGGTAAGGCCAGCAGTGTCAAGCAGCTAGCAGGGTGTAAGCTTGATCCCATGCTGCCACGGACCATATCACCTAGGGAATTTACTCCCTGAAACTAGTGTAAGTGCATACAGATAGAACAATCTGTTACAGTAAAGCTTTCGGGAAACTTGGAATACAATGCTAATATGATAGGTGGTTTCACGGAGCCAAATCAATATCCAATCCATCTTGATGACTTCAGTGCTTACCATGTCAGGATCACAAGGTTACGTGCCACGTATTTGGCCCTACACCATATGCTTTAGGGCCACTATTACTCACCCACATATCCTCATTACCCACTATTCCAAGCCATAGAGATACTACTGCAAGAGAGATCCTATAGTTTTTGCTCTCACCCTGCCCTAAGTCTTTTGGACTAAAGAATGGAAGAATATATTTACTGGCAACAGTTTTCTCAAAAAAAACCCAAACAACAAAAACATATCAAAAACAAAGCATTCTGCAAACTACAAATGCACTGTTTTACAAAAGTCAGCACAGACATGCAGAACTAATAATTTCAACAAATAACAATATATGAAAGTAGCTGCCTTCTCAGAAACTGTTTCTCTCTGAAACTCAAGGAGAGTAGTAAGAAGCTTTGGGAATAACAACAAGCTTTCAAGTAGCAGAAGAACCAGTTTCCATGAACTATTCATTGATTTCACATCTGAATGCAAAAAATAAAGCTGGGCAGGAATAAGAATTGTCCATTAAGAAGATGTGTTTCAGTAGATACTACAATGCCCAGGCAAATCATAATAGCAGTGCTCAAGCAGTAAAATATGTTTTAAATAATTTTTGGACAAAACTCTCAGCCAACTTTTCAATTTCATAATTGAAAGAGAAACAGAAGAAATTTAACAATTACAATTTCTTCCCATTAACTAGTGGCAGAATGAATCTAAAACATCCATGTGTGCCCTTTGAACGGCACAAGCAACATAGCAACTCCAATCAACATTTCCAGACCCTAGGAAGCTGTAAGCAGTCTCCATTTAACTCAGGTAGTCAGGCAATACTCATTTAAACCCTTCACACATTTTAGTATGGTATGTATTACTGGTATGTAATACTTGGTATGTATTACTGTATACATAATTCTAAAGCTGACAAGCTTTCTGATATAGCAAACTCCAACTCTCTCTTGCCAGAGACAAATGCATATGGTTTAGTAGAGGTTTGTTTGCCAGGGTGGCTGTGAGAATTATAGATGTTCTAAAGGCATCGCTTGGATGCCTATGAGGAAATAAAGGAAAGAGTATAATTTACTACTTCTCAGAAAGAAATAAATACCTGTTTTCATGCTTCTAGTAATTATGAACACAGTAAACAGTCAAAATCATTCTTAATATACTTATGTAAGTATCAATGGAAACAATAGCTATTCTACAAAATACAGTACTGTAGTTGCCCTAAAATACAGTACTGCAGTTGCCCTCCCTTAAAATCAAGTAATTACATCATAAATGAAGCATGCTCTCATATACAAACAAAAAGATTGTTAGTTAAACTCCTTGAAAAATTACCTCTCCTTTATATTCCACTGGCTTAATTCCTGCATATACAGGTATAAAACTACTTGCTAGCAGGACCTAGAGAAAAGAAAGCAGAAAGAATAAAGAACATAACTGAAGAAATGGCAACAAAGTAACTCTGAAACAATAGCTACTTTAATACATATTTATCTATACTAAATAATACAGCAGTAATCAGTCAATATATTTTACATAAAAACATTGTAACCTCAAAATGTCTTCTTCTTGTGGTATGTCAAAATGTGATTAAAAATATTCAATAGGGTTTGGTTTTCTACGACCTGAAAGTGACAACTCTCAAAACAAAATATCACAAATTAACTCATTGATTAATGTGATTCAAAAGAGTATGAACTTAGTTTTACAAAATGTGAAGTAAATCTATTATTCTGTAGAAAATATGCATATGCTGAAAAAAATGAAATATAAAGTATTGTGAAAGAAGCTGACTCAATCTTTCTGCTGGCATATTTATACAGTGTTTACTCTTCTAATAAATCAGATTTCCTAAGAATTCAAAATTGCCAAAATACTACACACAGGCTAAAAATTGACATATGAATAGATTTTATCAGTATAAATACTTTTCATTTAATACATTAAAATATTAACAAATTACTATTTGCCCTACAGTAAGCCTACATTGCTGTATACAGAAGTTCTCAATTTTATTTTACTTTTTTTTAACCTTTGTTTTTTAAACCAAGACACCTTTTGGTCATGTATAGATGTGTGCGGACACACACATACCTTTCTATCCACTCACAGCAATATCTATTAGAGTGTGTATGTCTCAATC